ACAAAGTGTCCCAAAGCCTCTGAGCCCCTCCACCCCCTCCCCCCTCACCCTCCACCCCCTCCCCCCCACCCCCCTCACCATCCCCCCCTCCCACCCCTCCCCCCTCCACCCCCTCACCATCCCCCCTCCACCCCTCCCCCCTCCCACCCCCTCACCCCATCCCCCCTCCACCCCCTCACCCTCCCCCCTCCACCCCCTCACCCCTCCCCCTCCCTCCCCTCCCCACCCCTCCCCTCCACCCCCTCACTCACCCTCTCCCACCCACCCCCACCCCCTCCCCTACACCCCCTCCCCACCCCGTCCCCCCCTCCCTCCCACCCTCACCCTCACCACCCCCCCCCCCCCCCTGGAGAGCCCACAGACAGAGACATGGAGTCCTCTGTTGGAATGTAAACTCCGGATAGTTTCCCAGAAAGTGATGGTTTGACTGATGTTAGTGCCTTAGATTTGAGTTTAAACCCACAGTTGGACAACTTCCTGACCAGCCCAGTGGGGGGGGAGTGGGGGAGTGGGGGAGTGGGGGGGTGAATGGCTTCAATATTGTTCTACCACATGGAGGGGAAAAAATAAGCATCAACGCCCATTAATACCCTCTACTCTGGGCCCTGTAATGCAGAGCTGTGGGGCGTGAGAAGGAAATAGACAGCATTTATTATTATTATTATTATATTATTATTAATTAGGTCTTTACCTTGTGGTAATTCAAGCTGCCACTGCGTTCACCTTCAACCTGAACACTGTGGAGATTGTTAACCAATTTGCTGGAATGTGTCTTTTTAGGTAAAGTGAGATATGTGTCTCTTAATAATAATCCCAGTAACAATCCTTGCATTTGGTATCGCGCTTTTCACGTCCTCGAGTACGTCTCAAAGCGCTTCGCGGAACAGACTGTAAAATGAATTGACTGCACGTTTTGTGGCGCAAAACTACTTCAGTTTAAAGTTGTGTGAGGTTTTACTGTAATACATATTCCTGGAAGTTGAACAGGACTCCTGTTATAATTCAGGGCAGGGTATCAAAACTGAAAATGTAACTGAATCACGGAATGGTATCATGAAACAGTTCTGCAACTAAACCTTAGGCAAGTTTCCTTACGCCACACGCCTCTGTATACCGAGCAGTAAGTAAGAACCTGGTTGATTGGCGGATCGCTTTCCGGGCGTAATGATAATCCCTCGAAAAATCATAATAATAATTTGGTCACTCAACCCACGGCTGTTTGTGGGGACGCTGCTGTGCGCAATTGGCTGCCGCGTTTCGCCCGCAAAACATACAGTCAATTCACTTTATAGTATATTCTGTGAAGCGCTTTGAGACGTCTCAGAGACGTGATAAGGCGCTGTCTTCAAATGCAAGGATTATTATTAGTATTAGTATTCTA